AAGGTGAGGATCCTCCGTTCTGCTTCCCTTGTGATGAAAGAATCACGGTCAACCATGGCCTGCTTGACTGTGCTGATTTTCCATCACAAGGGATGAATATTTCAAGGTTACATCTATGAAGGATCTTTTTAATACTATTAGTTCTCATTTAGTTATTGGCTTTTTAAAGGAAATACCCGCTTTTGAGCCTATCCATGTTCCTTCTGTCTACATTAATTTTAAATGCAGACATTTTGAAGAGTTCATTAAGTGTTTCTATAGCTGCGTAAAAACTTTCATCTTTGCCATTTAAAATAATTAAGTATCATCAGCATACTGCCCAAGTTTGTATTTTTTGTCATTGACACTAATCCCTTCAATACCTTGTCGACAGCCTTTTCCATTTGTAAACAATTCTGATAGATGCCCATTTTGTATCATGCTTGATGTAGTATGGTAAGTTAGTATATTTACCAACCTTATCATTTCTGGTCCAAATACATATTTTTGTAAAACTTTATTTATAAATTGTTTTGATACCGTATCAAATGCCTTTTCAAAATCGATCAGCAGAAGTGTTTTTGTTGTTGTCTTTTTGATTCAAAGATATTATCGTATAACAACCTAGATCTTCCTGGAATAAATCCTGTTTGATTATTATGAATGAGCAATTACACTGTTGATTTTATACGGTTTGCAGTACAAGTACTATTTATTTTATAGAATGCATTTAAGTTATTGGTCTCCAGTTTTTTATCAATGTTCTGTTTTTGTTTTTGTATACAAGTTACATGTATAACACCTCTTTTCATTGTCATACTCAGAAGGACTTTAATACAAATCTGTATATCCAGAAGTGTAGTTATGTTTCCAGAAAGAACATAACAAGATCAATAGGATAGCTATCAATGCATTGTTTTTCATCTTTTTAACTGCTAATGAAATTTCTTTCTTCGTAACTTCTGTCATTGTTATCAGATGTATATAATTTTTTTATGTAAGTTGCTTATTTCATCCAATGTGCATTTGCTGTCTGTCGTTACCGTATATTTTTCAGTTATAACTTTATTTATAATTTACTGACATAATTTCTATTTTCTAAGTGAAATAACGTTTTGGCTTTTCTCCTTTCTCGTACCAATGCATTCTATTTCTAATTAGGATTCCTCTTATTTCTTCTTCTGTTAAATGTTCCATTTTTAATTTCTATTTTGATAATTCTGATAGATATTTTTCGTAATTTTATGAAAATGTCGCCTCATGTTTTTTTCTAAATCTCATATCTTACTTTTGTTTGATTGAATTTGGTGATCTGCATATGATGCGGGGGATATAGCTATCAGCCAGTCTGTCTGTCTGTCTGTAATCATTTCCTTTTCCGGGGCAGAACTCGAAAAACCATTCAGTATATTTGATCGAAACTTGAAAGATGTATCAGTCGCATGCTGAAGTGGTGCCTTTTGCTATTTTGTAATTATTAAAAACATTATTTTTGAAAATCTTTATGGAAAGAAGTTGGACAAGGACACGATTGCTTGTTTCACGGATGATTTTGCGCGACTTGTTTTTGAAAAGAATTGTTTCTATTTACAGTATCTAATTTAGTTTTTGTTTCTTGCAATTTGTCATTGGTTTGCATAGAAAAAACCCACAGAAACACACTTGTGTTACTTTCCATTCCATATGGATGCGACCATGGTGGATCTTTTGTGGGTAAACAATGTATGCTTCTTCAAGAGCATTCGACTCATTACGTAATGAATTGCACATTTCCTCCGGGGGGGGGGGGGGGGGGGTCTTTCTGGTGACTCTTCTAATGAATGAAGACAATGAAATTGTTTTCCCTCAAAGCTTCATAACCGCGTAGTCTTTCTTGAATAATTGTATTAGAGAAAGATAATGTTGTGACTGAAAACGGGTAAAACATTTGATTCCAATGTCATATTTCTCATGTCTTCAGACACTAACAAGAAGTCCAGCCTAGCTTGTTGTCTTGGATTTTGTTTCGACCATGTAAATTTCTGTAGTAAATTATGTAGTTCTCTCCACATATCTATCATACTTAGAGTTCGCATACAGTAGAGCTCATCTCAACATCCAGATCAATACCATAGATTTTATTTGTTGTTTAACGTCGCCCTCAGCAATATTCCATCTATATGACTGCGGTCTGTAAAAAATCGAGTCTGGTCAATCTTATAAGTGAGTCAGGCTCATAAGTTGTGACATAATGTTCCCAAAGTTCTGTAACCTGCATACGTTTTTGGCAGCCTCAACTGGCTCATCAAAAACAAAAGTAAGATCACGCAAGAGCAGCGACAGTGTTTGATTGCTTGACAACAAAAGCTTTTTTAGAAGTACTATCTGGAACACGACCAATGCGCTTCCTTCCTGAAACCACCACTCTGATCCCCTCCTCAGAGTCAATTCTGTTGCCTGCCATTGCCGAGAAATATTCCGAACAACTGACCGTATAAATCATACATAACAAATTGAAAGTGAAAACTTTGAATGCACTCCAGCATAAAGGAAATCAAAAGCGAAAAAAGGACCAAAAAAAAGGAACACCCATAAACACATGTGCTCTATGGCACTGAACAACTTGCTGACAAGCAAAAGACGTCAGTACTTGACGGCAGTCAAGGTTGAACTCCTCCGCCACTAAAAAGCACGTCTTTAAACAGCTCTCGGACCATCTGCAAAGGAACCTCGAACTGAACATGGCATGACGCCAGTGGTGCAATTACCTGACGTTTCTCCGTGTCCACTCTATTCTTATACGACTGTGATAAGCAGTCATCGTGACGTCAGGATGCATCTACAGCCGCCTGTGTAAATAACAATATTGTCAAACATTGTTGTGGCAATATGTGAATCTCGACGGCACATATGATAATTGTAGGACTTCTTTTAATTGCGTATTTCATCCTCTTTACCAAGATATTTACAATAAAAAATCATCTCTTGTTCCACCACTCGGAATCAGAATCCAGTCTGTTATGTTTGCTTCAAATATTAAACTGCAACATATTGCTCCCCCTCAACTGTTTTCATCACCTCCTTGGCAAATGGTAAGGCCAGAGGTAGATCTCACATTAACCAAATTAAAAAAATCTGAAACAAATCAACTAATTTATCAACAAAAAAATAATGAATTAAGGAGCATTTATGATACTTACAAATGCATATTTACAGATCGATCTAAGGATGGTGACGCTGTTGCAAGCGCCACTGTCATTGGATCCAGAACCATATCATCAAGATTACCGAATGACAGTTCCATTTTTACAGCAGAATCACAGGCAATATTATTAACTGCTCTCAAATATATAAATACTAAATCTAAACATACACGGTTCATTATCCTTTCTGATTCACTTTCCTGTCTTCAGGCAATTAAGAATATATCTTGTCAACATCCACTTTTACGTGAAATTATAGAACTACATAATGATCTTGCTACTGGCCAGTACGACATCGTCTTTTGTTGGTTTCCAAGCCATGTTGGTATTACCGGTAATACAATGGCCGATGCTGCTGCTAAAGCAGCACTCACCAAATCTCTGACACCACTTCTCATCCCATATAGTGATTATAAACCTATAATAAGATCTTACATCCGTGATCTGATGCAAAAGAAGTGCGACACCCAAGTAGGTATGAATAAATTACATGAAATTAAACCAAATATCGGTTACACCTACTTGGGTTGTCAGTCCAGATTTGATGAGGTCATAATACGACGATGTCGTATTGGCCATAGCAGGTATAGAAATGAATATTTATTGAAAGGTGAGGATCCTCCATTTTGTATCCCTTGTGATGAAAGAATCACTGTCAAACATGTCCTGCTTGACTATTGATTTTTCCATCACAAGGGATAAATATTTCAAAGTGTCATCTATAAAGTATCTTTTTAATCAAAAACATGCTCATTTAATCATCGGTTTTTTAAAGGAAATAGAATTAATTAATAAATTTTGATGTACAAAGATATATATTTTATAAATTGGTAGTATGTGATAATTAACTGAGATTGTTTGTGGCTATATCCTCGAAGGGGGTTGAAGTAGCGTAAAATCATTGTCCCCCTGAGAGGATATGTAAGCCCATATAAATCAAAGTAATTTTATATCTGCCAATGTTTTAATCGTAGTATATTTGTTGGTTTTAAATCTCCGGCTAAACCCTGTCAGTGGTCGCCAATGACTAAAGGGGTGGAGTAAATCCTGCTGGGGTCCATGCAGGTAGCAAAGGTACTGTAAGTCCCTATGGTCCTCAGTATGGTGACCTCACTTTAGTTGCTGGTGATATAAAGCCCAATTTTATCTATTGTAATGTTATGAATTGTCATATTTTATGGTTATGTACTAGTTTTAAACATATATCTGTGATAATCTAGTTGTTTTACTATCCTTCGTCGACAGAATTTTATACAGTTTACATTTATATTATTAAAGTCAAATTTTGTCTCGTCACGATATGGCTGCAATATTGCCGATGTGACGTTAAATATTAACTCACTCACTCACTCTTTAGAGATGTTTGTATATCAAGTTATCCACCTGCCATACTTGAGGCATCAGTGCCATAGAATTTGAAAATGATACTTACATATTTCTGAATATACCCGAATTATGAATTTGTTACTTGACAATCATTACCAACATGCGACGTTAGGTAATGCAAGCATTAATACTCGTCAACATCTTCTAGACCTGTGATGATCCGAGGAAAAATAGGTCTTCAGGAACCCATGCCGTAAGAGGCGACATACGGGATCGGGTGGTCAGGATCGCTGACTTGGTTGATGTATGTGATCGTATCCCATTTGAGTCGATCAATGCTCATAATGTTAAACACTGGATTGCCTGGCCCAGACTCGATAATTCACAGACCGCATTCTGCAATATTGCAGTGTCAGGCGTCAAACAAACAAATCCATCGAGAGAGCTTGACCTTTGTTCTTCTAATATTTGACTACTGTTCTCTTGTTAACGATGACACTTCAAACACCACAGGTTGCGGATTTGAAGCCATTCCCACAGAACCTTTCAAGTTTAGGTTTCGCATTTCGGGGAATCGATGGTTTCCAAAAGACTGCCCCACCAATCACATTTACAACAAACGCCACTGTGGATGTATTCCGGAAAATCTAGGTAAGTACCTGAATTTTTATATTTATGTTTGAATAATCAGTATACTAAATGTGTTCACCAGTACTTAATGCCCATCAATAACTTTCTTTATTTGCATCCATTAAAAGAGCATTGTATTATACGTGCAAACGTGTTAGGTTTGTGTAAAAGTGAAGAAAATACCTTCTTGTGAAAAACGTCCGAGAGCTTGTGGACGCACAACCGCGAGCAGGATGTGCCGGATCGGAGGTAATGCCGAGAGGTCGAACACCACTCTCCTCTTGGAATATCCGTTCATCTTTGTTCTTGTAATACCAGAGGAGGTATTCCGCTCATCGTGTACTTGTTTGTGGATTCGTTTAGAATGTTCATATGTTTCGTTAAATTGATACCGATGTTGTCCTTCCTTTACTACAAAAAATACTTTGCCGTCTACAGTGTATGTGTTAGTAGGATTAAGGAAGTTACAATATTCTGAAGACAAAACAAACTTTGCAATGTCGAACTGGTTATGATTATATTCATCCCGATAAATGTTGTAATATGTATCGTTTTGGAAAGGCCTCCTTCCATGTTATATTTTGGTACAAAGCTTCATTATGTTATGTGAATAAAGGAATTAAAGAAAATGCTACCTTTTCATTAATATGGCATGAGTGACCTCAATTTCAGTAAAGTTAGATCCTAGTTTTCGCTTCCGCTAAATAAAGATCTGAGGACATCCCTTTGCGGGTCATGTTAGAACGACCTTTCATCTGACTAATCAGAGCAAGTGTTATGACATAAATTGTAATAACGTGGTCAATTGTAAAAAACTGCGGTAAATTGTAATACATACTGCGGCACATTGTAATAGAAAATCAGGCAAATTGTAATAACCAGTGCGGTAAATTGTAATAAAAGAGTATTGCATGAAGTTTAAAATGTGCGACTAAGCTGTTTTGAAATCAAAGTCCGGACTTTGAAACGACAGATTATCAATACTAAAGTACATTTAATACTTGATATTTGTATTTTCTCAGAACAGAATTCGTATTCCAGTGTTTCTTTGACCTTAACATGATCAAATCCATGCGTGTTTAAGGAACTAAAAAAAGCGATTTTGCTACAATTTCTGTCATTCCTGTTGAGAGGGTGGTTTCGGCAAATTGTTATACCAAGTGCTGTAAATTGTAATAACAGCTGATTTCTGATTTCAAACTGAATTTAAGTTCAAGTGTTTGTTCGACCTTAACAAGATCAATTCCAAACTCTAGCATGTTTAAGGAAATCAAGAAAAAGCGATTTTGCTTAAATTTCTGTCATTCCTATTGAAAGACAGGTGCGGCAAATTGTAATGCCAAGTGCGGTAAATTGTAATAACATCTCTTAATCCTTCCAATTTCAAACTGAATTCGAGTTCAAGTGTTTGTTCGACCTTAAAATGATCAATTCCAACCCCCAGCATGTTTCATTACATAAAAGATATTTTGTTTCAATTTCCAGTGTCAGAGGCAGGTGCGGCAACTTGTAAATGAAACTGTTTTGAAAATTTCATGTCTGTTGTTTAAAGGGGCACTGATCTAACGCAATTCCCCGGACTGGTTGTTGACTTTGTTATTGTTTTTCCCCCGTGAGTACCCGGATGATACGCAACGCAACTGAGCGTGACCAGAGACTGGGCTACCGTCTGCAAGGACGGCTAAATAAACTTGGAGGCTGGAGGCAATATTTGTTTTAAGCATTTTTGCATAAACACTAATTGGTTAACTGTGATCTATAAAGATTTCGACAAAGGGCGCATGTTATTAATTTCTTCAGCCTAAACAAGCAGACAAAAAGAACAGCGGAGCTCATCGGATGTCGTCATTTGGAAATACCACAGATGGTTATAGTTTTATACTAAAAAAAGTATCCATGCAGTGAAAGCATTTTCGGATTTCGGCTTGCGTCGATAATACGATTACTACTCCCTTGTTGTCATCCACGTTTTCTCGTATAACCCTTCACTTGTGTATTTGTCGTCATTCAAATGATGCTCAGTTAATGAATTTATTACAGGTACAATTAGTGGTAGCACCACTTAGATAACCTGACAAAGGTTCCCATTTGGCATTTATTGTGTCTGGGGTAATTATTCAATCTAAATCCAGGGTTGAAGTGAGGTGAAATGTGTGTTATGTAATATGCACGTGGCAGCCCAGCTAGAGATGAATGATCAGTTGATTTATTTTTTTGTAAATCAACGGAACGTTCCTAGTCATCAAAGGATTAACAGAAAATACGTTGATTGATTAATCACTGTTATCTTGCAAAGTGGATATGTCAAGAGTGAGTGTTTACATGTCTAGGTTTACTAAAACAAAGGGAATACATTCATACCATGGCGTCAAGTGCCAATGTAAAACAACATACTTTGTTCAAAGGGTTAACTTGTAACACGTTGATTGATCATTGTTATCTATCACTCAGTGGATTTTTTAAGAACCGTGAACGTTATGAAAATAGTTGTCACGTGGGCTTTCTCAGCCGACCATTGAGACTTGACACCTATGTAAAACACCTGAAACAATCCAAGTGATCAGTTGAGAAACGAACACGGGTTATAATATCCCGAAACGATATATATCTTTTAAAATATTTGATTGTTACTGAGACACGTGACATCGAATAAGTTTCTTTGTACATCTGCAGACGAGTGGGATATTGTTCCTTTGTGTGGATATTCACGGATACATTCCTCGAACAAGGAAGCTGCCTAAAATTTATACACATAAATTTGGTAGGTTGTAATTATGTTATTTGCATTTTGTTTTCCTTCATTTGAACAGATAATTCGTTCTTGTTTCTCTACGTCTTGGTTGGGAAATTCTTCAATGCGCGATAGACGTTGTTTTCACAGGTCTTTTCCTTTGTAAGCGTGTATATATTACCGTCAATTTGAAAAAATGTGATTCTCTCAGGCAATTTATAAAATGTGTAAATATTTCAGTCATTTTGACAAAAAAATCTGTCCAGATTGATTAAGACGATCAAAAGGGCCTACAAACATCACAACAGATTATTATGTAGTATTAGAAGCCAAACAACATAGAAATGTACTTTTCTCAACGTAACATTTTCAGTCTCTTGGTGATGACATTAAACATCAAAATGTTTGGAATTCATTATCATAATAATACAGATGGAAATGTTTTCAGTCGCTTTGTAAAATAACTGAATATTTAGACGTTTAATAAATTTGTTACACATTTGACAGTAAAAAAAAATACACACTATAAAAAAAGCAATGCTCAGGTGAAATATTTACTTTGTGTTGCAAGTCAAAATAGTGTAAACGAAAATCGCAAAATTACCAAGCAAGTGACTTATCAAAACTTCGTCACCATTACCGATGCTACCCACAAAGATACCTACATTTCCTTATTATCTCGAAAACTGTATTTCATTTTGTTGATCAATGTGACCATACGCCCTTATTACTACCCATAAAAGCGACTAATGCGCTTACGAATGGCGCAGGAGAGGTCGCGAACTAGTCTAGATTTCTGCTATACATCCGGGTACTCACTTGGAAAAAACAATAACAAAGGCAACAACCAGTCCCGGGGAATTGCGTTAGATCAGTGCCCCTTTAATATCATTTTTATCATTCTGTTTGGGGAAAAGTCCATTTTTTGAAATGTCAGTATGGTGAATTGTCCGAGTGGGGAAATGTCCTCCACTCATGATCAACACATCATAATTAATGAACGATATCTATATACCGGAAGAGACTTTTTTTTTTATCCATATCGGTCCTTAACGACAGAGATCAACATAGATAACTAATATACTCTCAAATCTACCTAACACTGCCCTCTCTTACCATTCGTTAATACATTTATGAAAACAGAAGAAATAATATAAACACGCTTTTGCAATACACATTCAAGAACGTTGCAATTATTATCTGTTTAATAAAATGAGCTTTTAGTGATACCATATACAATTATGTATGTTGAATTAGTGGCCTATATCACATGTGTTACAACAGAGAGACAGTGTTATTTTGTTTCATCACAGCTCTTCGTAGTTCTGCAGACTTATGTAATTGCAAGATTCTTTAAAATATCTTCATGTTTACTGTACATGAGGGTATAACATTTATTCATTGAAGGATTGACACAGACTTTTGCTGGTATATAATAGTTCCTGATGAATTGATATATATCACAAACAAGGATAACATGGTAATGATATTCTATATACAATTCGTTACACAGTAAACATACTCTCTCACATCATGGTTGTTTGCATTGTCGTCCGGTTTCAATTCTTAACTGATGGGAACTACATGTTAGTTTTGCCAGACAGTTTCTAAACTTAGAGATACCGATTACATTTAGATACATTTCAAGACCAAATGACGGTTTATACAAAGAATGACTATACGTTTTTAACCGTTTTGGAGAGAGACTTTAGCCGAAATGTAAATTTTGAAAGAAATGTTAGAACAATACCGACAGATTGACGTTCCCAAATATAGTGAGTGAGTGAGTAATTGTTGCTTTATGCCGCAGATCAGCAATATTCCAGCTATTCGTGGCTATAAAAACCAAATCAATTTCCTTTAGTCAACATTATTTAAATGTGATGACGACGATCACTAAAACTTCAGTCCCTTATCACAGTAAACAGTAAAAACTGACATTCAAAATTTAAAATCTACATCTTTTCATACAGTTTAATTTCTTTCAAATAGGCTAAAACTAAGTGGTTAGAAACAGTAGTGAAAAGTTCAGAAATAGTTTGAACAGTATAAAAGCGTTGACGAATAAGTGCAAAATCAACACATTCCAACAAAAGGTGCTTGATAGTCAAAGGACTATGGCAAGGAATACATTGAGGGGGATCCTCTCCCTTCAATAAAAAGGAATGAGTCAAATGACTGTCCAATACGACACCGTCGGATAACAACTTCATCCTGACGACTTAATCCAGTAGGGCCATGATTTCCAATCAAGGGTTGTATGGCATGGAGTTTATTCAATACTTGTTTA